TATATATATATATATATATTACTGAAGATTTTTTTCTTTCTAAAGTAAAAAAAGTATTATTAAATAAAAAGAAGGTTTATCTTTTTAGAATTAATTTTAAACAAGATTTGAGATAAGGCGTATCATTTAAGTTTTTTTTAAGTTTTAATTTTTTTAAGTTTTCTTGATACATTAGTAAAATTTATTTTCACAGCAGTCAGAGAATCACTTAAAGCTGATGGAGATCTTGGTCGTATAAAAGCCGAAATGCGTACAGAAGTTATAAAATTGTTAGACAATTCAAACAAAGAAAATAAAACAAAGCTTCCAAAACCACCTTTAGACATTGTATTTTTAAACGAACTTATTCGAGAATATTTAGATTGGATGGGATATAAGTACAGCTCAACTGTATTTATTTCAGGTATTTAATAGTGCAGTTCATATGTAATATAATACAATATAATACAGAAATTAATATATTTACAAAAATTAATGTATAATATTTTTTGTTTTAGAATGTGATTTGTCAAAGCAACCACTTGATAGATTTTTGCTTTTGCAAAGTTTGGGACTGAAGGAAAGTGAGAATAGTACAAAATTGCCATTGCTGTGTAGTATTATAGAAACATTTAAAAATTTTAAAAATACATAAATACATAAAATTATGTATAGATTATTATCAACAAAAATTTGAAAAACCTAAAATATTCACGATAAATATTATGAATAAACAAAAAATATATAAATTATCAAACTCCCTATTTTTTAATTAATTTAAGGTTTTTGTAATTTATTTAAATTTTCTTTATATAATAATATTATAAAGCATATAATTTTATATAGCAAATGATTTCTGTAAACTGTAAAACAAAAACAACACTAAATTAAAAGAATTTCGTCTTTTTATTTCATGACGTCTTTTACATATTGACATTACATTACGAAAGTACAATATAATGTTGCAATATTGGAGATCTTAAATATAATGCTGTTGTTCTCTAAAAGTATAGTATTAGATTTCTTAAAGATATTATCTACTGAATGCTATAATGTACATGAGTTATTGTAATAAATTTACTTACAGCATTTTAGAGGTGGAATTGGAACATGGACAATCATGTAAAGGCCTTAATAATGTCTCGAAATTAAATACAAGTTAAATATCATATTTTGTTACTTGTTCCATGTTTCATTAAAGTTTTCAATCCCAAAAAAAAAAAAAAATATTGGCTACTAATAAGTAATTAATCAGTAATGTTTGTTCAAATTAACTTTGAACACATCTTAGAATATAGAATATAGAATAAATCATCTACGTTGTTTCTTAGATGTCAAATAACAATCTCAGTTTGATGCGTATAATAGTAAATAATTCTGATAGTGGATCTTACATTAAAAAGCATTCACAAAGAAAAATTACTATCAGAATTTACTTTTAAAATATTACAGACAATCTAATGATGTCATTTGTGCTTTGATTTCTTCTTTTTTTTCGTTTGTTTATTTCTACTCTTTGATTTTTTTGATTTTTTCTTATGCTTTTCTTCATCGGTACTTGTCTCTGATGAATCTGAATAAGAATCTGAATCAGAACTACTATCTTTTTTCATAGATTTCTTTTTCTTATGTTTTTTATGTTTCTTCTTCTTCTTTTTATGCGATTCATCGGAACTATCAGACTCGGTAGTTGAGCTATCCGTAGTACTAGATGAATCTTCAGTAGTTGTAGACTTTGATCGTTTTTTAAGAGATTTTATATCCATTTCCTTTTCTATATCTGGCTCATCAAGTTTAAGTTTCTTGGCAGGTAATTGAACTACTTTGCCATCTTCACCATCAGATTCTGAATCTGAAGCACTGTAATCAGGTTCAAAGCTAGCTTCATCTAGCATACTACGTTTACGATCGGATACAAGCCTTGGATTCTTCCTTTGTTTCTTTATGGACTCCGTAGCTGGAGGCTCAGGATTTTCATAATTTATTTTAGCTTCATTACCTTCAGCTTTATCTTTTAAAACAATGTTTTCCTTATGCTTTTGTTTCTTCTCTAAATTTTTATCTTTATCCTTTTTATGTTTCTTTTCCTTCCGTTTCTTATGTTCTTTGGATTTACTTCTACTTCGGTGTTCTTTCTTTCTTTTTTTATCTTCCTTCGTCTTCTTATCCCTACGTCTATCATCTTCTTCTTCTCTACTCTTCAAGAGACTTATCTTTGGAATATCGTTTCTTTTAAACGTACAAGATGGTGTTCTTCCTCTTCTTTCTTTATCTCTGTCTTTCTCTTTATCTTTGTCCAATCTTTCTCCTTTAGAGTCATTACGAGTTGATCTAAAATCTCCCCTCGAATCAATCCTTGGATCTCTTTCTGATCTTATGTCGTGTCGATCGCTTCTGAAATCGTTCCTTTCTTTTGAACGATCACCTCGATCTTTATTGTCCCGTTTTCTATCATCGAGAAATACCTTACGTTCGCTTCCTGGTATAGATAATGATGAATCAACACGTCTATCTAATAGCGGAGATATTCGTTTATCTCTTGTACTTCTAGGAGATCGACTTCTAGATTGATTTTCACTTTTTGTTTCGCGTCTATCTAAGAAGCTTTTCATGGGGCTGATCTTTCTTTCTTTATTTTCATCCACTTTCTCGCCCAATCTTTCTTTGGCAGAAAGTCTTGTAGGTGAATAAGTTTCTGGAACTGGCTTAAATTTTGTTCGATCTAATTTAGCTTTTTTCACTGGTTCTGTAATTTCAACATTTCTTTCGTTTCTCCCTATATTTATAGTGACGTTCACACTCTTCCTTGGTTCTCTGTTAGGTTCAACTTCAAGTACTTTGGGCTCTGGATTTTGGTACAGTACTTTCCTACTTTCACTTATCTTTTTAATTTCAATGGGTCTAATGGCATTGATGGCTTTTTGAAAAATTGCATTTTCTGCTCTTTTTAGTACTTCTGATGTAACTACTTTGGTAGATTTAGGTTCATCTAATTGTATTTTTTCTATGGGAGATTCACATACATCGTCTGCTTTTTCTGTAGTATCGTCTCTTTCCCATTTAGAGAGTTCGGGCATTGGAGCTAAAAATTCATCTTTCTTTGGAGATTTTTCCTCTAATAATGTGCTTTTATCTTCCGTCTCATTCTCCGAAAGTAAAGAATACTTCTCCGTTATTACAGTGTTTATTTCTGCATCGTCTAATCCACTATAAAGGCTATCAATAGGTTTGATGTCAGATTTTAATTCCGGAATTGGCTTAAAATTGGGATTAGGAGGATTTGTCCCAAATTCCGTATGATCAATCCTTTCTGGACTGGCCTCATGAAACTCTGGAGGTTCTGGATTCATGGCTAAAGATTTATCTTCAAATTCTTCTTTAATTGATTCTTCTATAACAGTTTCAGTAGGAATGCAAGCTATTCTACTATCAATATTCTCATCTTCGTTATTAGGTTTTATAGTATCATTTTTTGTGGGTGACATGCACTCCTGCTTATTTTCCACTACTAACTCTTCCTGTTCGGCTGATTTAATAGGTTCGTCTTTCACAATCTCTTTTTGTCCCGATTTTTTTTCTTTCTTCTTCTTCTTTTTCTTCTCCTTTTCATCGTCCTTTTTCTTTTTCTTTTCTTTAATTTTCTTCTCCTTCTTCTTTTCTTCATTCTTTTCCTCGTGATCTTTCTCTTTCTTCTTTATACGCTCAGGCGACACATCCTTCGTATCTATTCTAGATTTCTGCGAATAAGGAGTTGGACTTTTCCTGTTCTTTTTCCGTTCCATAGAACGCCTTTCATAACGTTCATGTCGATCCCTATCTTTTTCAGACTCATAATCTCGTTCACGTCTATCTTTTTCACGGGAACGATTTTTATCGTCTTGTTTATGACGATCTTTTTCATCTCTGTAACTGAAACAACAATATTCCAATAATAATGAAGAACAGAATTCCAAAAATATTATCTTAAAAATCAAGTCTGTTCAATTACTTTATTTATGAATGTAATTGACATTTTTTTATTTCAATAAACTAATATATAAGATGTACATTTATATAAGATATACATACCGGTCTTTATCATAGTCTTTCTTGTCTATGTGCCTATCGTCTTCTCGTCGATCACGAGTGTGTCTATCATCTCGTTCTTTTTCTTTTTCTCTTCTGTCGCGATCATCTTTTTCTCGTATCCTATCGTCGTGATCTCTGGGTAATCCTTGTCTTTCACGATCTTCACGATCTCTATTCAAAATTCTCCTGTCTCTTTCATCCCTTTC